CTGCAGCTCAGAATCCCAGTACAGCAGCTGGTCCCAGCCACCTTCCTTTTTTGGGTGCAGGTGGGCTGAGGCTCTGTCATTTGGGGGAGAAAGATTTACCCATGAAACAAGAGAAAAAAGCATCTTTGAGGACCTAAGTCCCTGCAAGTGATTTTTGATCATGGTGAATGGTGATAATCCTCTCTTAGCAAACAAGCACCTATTCAGGAATTACAGTAGGAGATAATAATAGGAAATGGAGGGAGGACTATGCAGTTGGATTTTAAAAAGGCAGCTCCACTCAATTCTTATTAAAATTGGTGAGAGCTGTAATGTTTATTAATTAGAGCTTTTTAAAACGTAAGTATGTGGGTTGAATATTTTACTCTTGGCATTATTTATCTTCTGGTTTTACAATGACAGGTTTATTGGGGGTTTTAATGCACATTTGGATAATTGTTGAGTTTTATCTGCGTGCTTTTACTCCAGGGTGGTCATCAGCACAATCTCACAGGCTTGAAAGCAGCAGATCTGCTGGCAATTGTGCTGTCTATTATAAATTCACTCTGCAGGGTCAACCTGGAGCTTTAATGCAACAGGAAGAATATAAAAGAAGTGCATATTTGTGTCACAGGTGCTAGAACACAGCATGATTTGTACGTTTGAAGAACTGTCCCATGTGCAAGTGGAAATTGCTGCAGTTTTAGAGGAAGCATCCCAATTTCCATTTGTGAAACTTCTGTGTAATCTTAAGTGACTAATACAGCCAAAATTAAAAGAATATATACAGATATAACATATATATAATTTCTGAAATGTTGAGATTTTAAGGCATCTCAGTATCTGAGGGGCTGCAGTGCCTCTTTGCAGCAGGGTGAGGGCCTCAGCTCTGTGTGTCTGGGTGTTCACAGATCTGAAACTCTGCTGGCTGCATTTGCTGCTGTTTTCTTATAAGTCAAAAAGTATAAAATGAAGTAGAAAAATGTTAGGCTGTGTTAAAACTCTAAGCAAAGTCCTAGCAAATGCAGCTGGAGTTTCACTGGGAAAATGGTGGGTGATGTCTGTGAGTAACTACAGCTGGAATCTGCAGAGGGAGATCCTCACTGGCTTATATTTTGTCTGTGGTGTCTTTTTCTTTCTTTAAAGCTAGTGCTCAAATACTTGAAACATCAAAGTCTTCCCTTCTACACATTATTCATTCCTGCAAATGTCTCATATCATGCAGGAGGATGATCAGAAAGGTATGTCTCTTTAGAAATGGTAAATCAATCCTGTCCTTTTGGAAAAGTGGTTGGGAATGATTTTATGGTTATTAACTTGAATTCAATATTTTCTTTTTCAATCTAGGCTTTTTAAAATTCAAGAAACTTTCAAGAAACTTTTTAATCATCCTCTTCTTGCCTTTTCTCAAAAGTAAAATCTTACTTTTTTTGTTTCGTCAGCCAGTTCCTTCATCTCATTTAAAATGAAACTCAACATAAAACCCCTCATAGAAAATTGAAACTCACTGGTTGTCTGAGCATGTCCCCATCACACCTGGGACTGAAGGTGTGGTGCTTGCAAGGGCTCTGCTGTAGGGATGACATTTTTCTGAGCACTTTTTGGGAAAACTTAACTTGAGAACTGTCCAGATGATGGTGGGTATGTTGATCATACTCACATGCTGTACAATTTACAGATTTCAGTAGCTGGCTAAAAAAAAAAAAGTGTGTATTGGTTGAGGTTTGTAGCTCCAAATGAACTGGGTGAGATTGACTTGGAGTCTGTTGCCTTGAGGAGCTGCATGATAGGTTCTGTACTTAATGGCTGTAAGACTGATGCTTTACTAAACTTCTTTTCAAAATATTTTAGTTCCCTGTTGTTTTAAGTGAAATTTTCTGTTTCATACCTCACTAGCTAAGTAGAGCAGGATTTTAAATGTAGAAGCAGCTGAAGTTCTCCTCTGTATCAACATCCTCATGCCAAGATGGAGCATCCTGCAGTAACCAAGAGTTAGCAGAAGCAAATATAAATATTGGAAGGCCAACGTTGCACAAGATCAAGCACAACTTCCAGAAGAGCCTCAGCCAACAGCAAGGTTTGGTTTTACATGCTGCTGTTACCATTACAGCCTCAGCTGTTTGACAGCCCATAGCAGCTCAGAAGTGCCCCAAGGCAATGAACCATCTTTGCTGCTTTCAGGGAGATGCTTGTGGCAGATGGATATTTCAGAGTGCTGCCTGGCTTTTCAGAGTCCTTACCTCTGGCTGTTTGACACCACCTTCATCTGCAGCCAGCTGTCCTTCCTCCAGGTGTTCCCTTGGGCTGAGCACAGGGATGGAGAGTGGGATCACCTGAGGGCTGCCATTTGAATGCACGGGGTCTTGGTGTGCTTTTACAGCACCTTCCTGATCCATTTTCAATAAGAAATAGGAACTCTGTGGAGATAAATAGGAGTGAAAATCAGTGAGAGAGAGAAACTGGATTTGTGGTTTGGAATGGAATCCCAGCATTGCCTCTGGCTTGATCCATTGATTGGGAGCAGCCACCAATGACTTCCCATGATCTCCCTTTGCAGGATGGATCAGCAATCAGAGCTGATTCCTATGGGTTCAGCTAAAGCATTTTCACTGAAATCCAGCTGTTATATATGTTGATTTTGATCAAATTTTCTTTCGGCAACATAAGTCTTTTCTGTGGGAATTAAAATTGGAACTTCCTTCTGGGCAGGAAACAGCGGCTTCAGCTCAAGTGCTGTTTGTGTAAAAATATTACAGTGCATTTTTGTTTGGTTCCAAGGAAAAAATTAAATATATCATTTGATCATGGAATTTGCTGCTCTTCAATCAGCTCTGGTACCTCTTTTGCAACTTTGCTTTGAGTTGTCTGAAGGAACAGTGAGCTACATGAGCTAGCTATTATTTGAGTGATATTGGGTGAGTTTTCAGCCATGTGAACACAGTCTGTGGTTTGTACAGAAGAATATGAGAATATTTTAAGCTGACCATTTAAGAAATTTACTTAGGTCAAAAAGTGGTTTCCTTCAGCTAAGCCAGTCATGGATGAAATCATGTCTGTGAAAGCCAGTTTAAAACTGCAGTGGTGCAAAAAATTCTCATCAAAACTTGGTAAATTCTCTGAGAATGTTGAAGATGTTTTACAAGCCTTGGGACAAACTATAAACTTGTGTCAGAATCTAATCTGAATTCTTGTGGCCAGCTTGTGAACTTGGAGTTTATAATGGAAATAGGGATGTAACAGATTCTTAACCATATCAAGACCAGCAGGTGTTGCTATAATATATTAAATGCTGTGGAGCCATCAAATCAGCTGCACTTGAGCATTAGTTCCATATTTTCTTAAACAAAATTGTTATATGCTAGGAAAATGTAATGCTGTGAGTGATTTGCAATAAGAATACGGCTGAAATAATCAAAGCACTGGAAAATTTCAGATTCTGAGCTGTTTCTGCTGAGTGACCAAGAGAGTTTTCCTGCAGCTTGAGTGAAAGATCTCATCCTGCACCCAGGCATTATTTGTGTTTAAGAATACAGTAATGTAGGAAATAACAAAATCCCGTACATATTTCCATACTTGGAAGAGATGACACTGCAGAGACTTGTGGCATCTTCTTCCAGGGATAAAATGAGATGATAGTGAAACTCTGGTTTAGGTTTTCTCTGCTCAGCACAGGTCTCACTGGTGATCCTCAAAAGACCAGGGGAGAATTCCTCTAGGACAGAAACACAACTTCTCCAAGAAGTTGTGATCCTCAGGGGCCTTGCAGAAGGTGAGCAGCAGGAGGGTCAGAAGCGGGACCAGCAGACCAGTAGAGAATTTATATCTCAGGAAACCCTGAGCACGGCTTGCCGAGTTTCAATGAACTCAGGGAGGTTGTAACCTTGGCTAGATTTTGAGTTGGCAGCTCTTGAAACCAAGAAGGAAGGATGAAAGGAGAAAAATTCCCAGCATCAGGATATATCCTATGGTATGCAACCCTCTAAGTGAGATGGGTATATCTTTTTGTATAAAAGGAGGATTGCTGTGAACATGAATGGAGAAGCTGTTTAAAGGACATATTTAATGCCCATAGGTATTGAGATTAAAGAGTTAATGGTTATGACCTGAGAGATTATCAATTTAGACTAGATATAAAGAATAAATATTTTCTGATGAGAGTGGTAAAATGCTGTCATAAGTCACCCAGAGAGGTGGTGGATGCCCCATCCCTGGGAACGTTTGAGGTCAGCTCAGACAGGGCTCTGAGCAACCTGAGGTCAGCTCATTTGAGATCAGCTTAGACAGGGCTCTGAGCGACCTGATCGAGTTGAAGATGTCCCTGCTCATTGCAGGGGTCTTGGAGCAGATGGGCTTTTAAACGTTTCTGCCGACCTAAACTATCCTATGAGTCCATATTTCTATGGATGCTTGGCAAGAACAACTCTTGCCTGTGCATGTGGTCCCAGCCATGTCATTTTCATGCAGGATCCCAAGCCAGAGCCGTACTCGGGCTGCCGGGAAAGCCAGGGAGCAGAGTGCGTTACCAGCTCTCCCTCTTGCCGGGGAGCGTGCGAACTTATTTCATGTCTTCTCCACCGCTGAGCCGGGTGGGGCATCACCTCCCCTCGGGGGCTGCAAGGACACCTTGCTCTCTCCCTCCGCCCTCGGGAGCTGCCCGCGGGCAGCACCGGCTCTCTCCAGGTGGGCAGCAATGATAAGATGGCCCCTGGCGCGTTCGGCGGGGCCCTGGGCAGGGCGCGGAGCGGGGCGGGCGCGGCTCCGCCGTGTGCATGTAGATGAGATCCCCCGGAGCACGTCACTGCGCACCGGCGCTCTGCGTTCGGGGCGGCGGACAGCGAGCGAGGGCGGGCGGGCGGGCGGGAGCCGCCGGAGGAGCAGCAGCGGCAGGAGGAAGAGGAGGCTCGGGGGGCAGCAGCGCTCGGCCCCGCTCCATGCCGCCCTGCCCGCCGCGGCGCGGGCCCCGCGGGGCGACGGCGGGCGCGGGGCGGGGAGAGGCGCGGCGGTGCTGAAGGACAGCTCCGCTCTCGGCTCTCCTACTGTTCTCTCCGCTCCCCCTGGCTCCTCTCTCCTCGGCTGTGCTCCCCCAGGCTCCGCTCCCGTTCTCTCTGCTCCCCCTGGCTCCGCTGCCTTCAGCTCCGCTGCCCCCGGCTCCGCTCGGCGCCCCGGGCTCTGCCCTCTCCGGGTGGCCGCGGGGCCGCCGCTCTCCGTGCCTGGATGCGCCCCCCGCCACCGCGCCCGCGGCTCCCATGGCGGTGGCACGGAAAATCAAAACTTTGTTGACGGTGAACATCTTGGTCTTCGTGGGCATCATCCTGTTCTCCGTGTACTGCAGGATCCAGGACCGTTCGCAGGAGCTGGTGCAGATCGTCCGGAGCGCGGAGCGCCGGGCCAGGAGCCGCGGCGCCAAGGTGGGCAGCCTGGCCGACAGGGAGTCCATCCTGCAGCGCCTGGACCACCTGGAGGAAGTGGTCTACAACCAGCTCAATGGTACGAGGGGCGGGGAGGGGATGTCCTGTGCCCCGGGAGGGTGCTGCAGGATGGGCAAGAGCACCCAAGCGTCCCCCTCTGGGGAGGGGAGCCCGGGCATCACTCACACCGACCCCAGCGCTGAAGTGCTGAAAACACAGGGCGAGAGGTGATGCAGGGTTTGCTGGAGGGGTTTGTCGAGCCTCCCACCACCACCCTGCCTCTCTGCCAACTCTTGCTCCAAAGTCAGCACTTCCTCAATAGGTGCAAAATTCACGATGCTGCAGTCCAGGTGTTTCCGGATCAGAGGAAGTCCCTACAAACTGTACCTGGTTTTACAGTTTGTCTGGGTGTATTAACTCTGCATAGGAAGTTGTTTGTATAGGAAATACAGTGTTAGATTATAGCTGGAAGTCATATACTTGGTTTCAGAGCTACTTTAAAAGCATTCTGCTGAGTTCTTACATTGTGCGCTATTAATGGTCTGTTTTAACATAGCACCCATATGTTTCCTTAATGATTTTGCCATTTAAATTTGTTATTGTCATTGATGAGGAGGGGAAGCATCCACCAGTTCTTTTTATGACTTAGCATTCTAATTCACCAGCCTTGAAAAATATTGCTAGGTAAGCAAAGAACCCTTCCATGGTAGTTAAAACAGGCTAAGCCATCAAAGTTGTTATAGGACAGATAACATTTCATATAGAAACTAATTCTTCAAAATGACTGCATTTGTATTTGCATGAATTCTTAAAGTTCTAAGTGTGAGACATCAAAGAAATAAGTGTGTGATTAAATACAGCAGTGTTTTGGACAAGAAAAGACTGAAGGAGTGAACTTTGCATGAGATTATAATATAAGAGTAACATTTAGTGTTTCACAGAAAATAAAATGTTCAGTGTAAATATGTTTAATATGTGCTTCTAGGCTGCTTGTGGAAATCCTACTTGTAACATTGATTTAAGAAAGGCTACTGTAGCCTCAAACTGCAGACAAATAGGAGAGTTAGCATAAAGTATGTTTCCTATTACTACTTTGTGAATGAATGTATAAATCTAAGTAAGTCAGGCTGGTGTGGTAGTGTGCAGTTTGTGCCAGCAAGTGTCAGGGAACAGGCATCCCCTCACACTCTCCTCTGGATGAAAAGGGCAGAGAGAGGGGGAATTGGAGTGGGGTGTTAGTCCCAAACCCACACATTCAGGAATTAGAGAGAAAGTGTCAACAGCTGTGTTTTCTGACCATATTTTGGAACAGTTTTGGAGAATGTGGGATTTAAGAGGAAAATCATGTATTCCACCAAACCACAAAGTTCACAAACTAAATTAGATATATCCATTACAACCCAATTGTAATGGCTTTTTTGCCCAAATAGATTTGTTCTTGGCGTTCTTCATAGGGGAGACTTTGGGAAGGATTTCCCTGCTCTGTGTTCATCTCAGCACAGCATCCCCTGGAGAATCAGCAGAGTCCTCACCGTGCTAAGCAGGCACCATTGCATGCAATGACTGGAAGTTCTCTGTGAAGCATGCCTCTTTTTGGGAGTTGTTTTCTTCATCTTCTTTAATTCCATTTATTGGATATGAATCTTCATGGTGAAATGACTTGAACTTAGTGTTACATTGCTTCTTCAGGTCATATCAAACACTGCAGGCAGTTTTCTTTTCCTAGAAGTTCTTACACAGGAAAATACAGAAAGTTTTTCAAGCTGAGCTGTTCAAATTTCCTATTTATTTTTCCTTAATTTTTCTCTGATGTGATTGTTGAGTTTCTTATTATTACACAGTGGTACATTAACATAGATTAATTCTGGAAAAAAATACTTTTCCCCCCCATCATGTTTCAACAAAAAGTCCTAAGAAATTAGGAAATGCTCCACTGATATCATCAGAGCTGCATTGCTGTAAGTGAAATCAGGACCAAGCATCTGTATTTGTGTTTAGCTGGCTGCTGTTCTGTTTGCAATGCCATGACTCATGATTTGTGTCATTAATGGGCAGCCCTGGGATCCAGGGGAGCCTGTGTGACAGGGCTGTGCTGTGTCACACAAACACTGTGCTCTGCAGCTCTGCAGCTTCACCTCAGGCTTGAGTCAGGTTTCTCCTGCCCATGCTGCCTCATCACAAGGTTAGAGAGCCAAATGAGGCTGTCCTGGATGTCACTTTTTCATGAGGTGGGTCAAAGTCTCTTCTATGTGGAGAGGTAGGCAGGTTTTATTCAGGAGGAATATGAGTTTCTTTATACCCAGAGCCTCTCAAAGCTCCAGGAGGCTGAGTCCAGCTCAATGCTATCATTGCAGCACATCAGCCCAGCCCAGGATTTGAGTTCTCTGCTCCTCATCCTTTCTCTTTGAGATCAGCAAATTTAGAGCTACCTATTAACTAAATTTTTTGGTAATATCTCAGTGTTCTTTTATTTTTCTCTTCTATTCAGATGAGACCTGAACTCGTAAAACTTATCTGAATTTTCTAGGGACTCTGTTGATGATCCAGAGCAACAAAAAGCCATTCTGAGAGAGACCAGCCTTGCAGCTGCACAGAATTTTGTTTCTGTCACATATATTTGTTTACATACAATCAAGGAAATGTTATTTAGAAGTGTGTACCTTCTGCAAGGAAAAGTAACACAGGCAGTAACATTATAAATGTATAAGGAGGCAACCCAAAACTGATCACTGGAGAACTCATTAACTTTCCAGTCTGAATGAAATCAGTGAGTGCAGTGCCTGTGGAGGTGTGTGCAGAACACAGAGGACCATGGATGGAAGTCAGGAGAAAGCTGGTCCTTGCCATTATCTTTGGCAGAACAGGAGTTTTTAGAATAGGATGAATGAGAATTGCCATGATTCCCCGCAGAGTCGTGCAGACATCCACCCAAACAATAGTTTTCATTTGGCTCGTGCTCTGGTTTTTTATCAACTTGGGAAAAATAGTATTTCTCAAAGCTTTCTTTTCCCTCAGCTGCTGCTGGGTTTGGTGGAAGCAAATGAACAGAGCATGTAAAGGGAAAGGAAAGCAATGAAACGTGTCAGTGGAATTTTCTTGGTGAGACTTTGTATTACCTCCTGATGCTTGACCTTGGGTACAATGTTTATTTTGAAAAACAGAGTTATTATAGATCTAGTTGAGCAATCTATATATGTTCTTTTTTATTTTTTTTTGCTATGGTATTGCTATTGATGGATATATTTTATTGTCATTCAGCACAGAGCTCATACCAGCTAGACTTGGTAGCAATTCATTAAATGTCATAATGATAACACCTTCGTATTTTTTTCCTTTGCCTTTACTTTTTTTGTAAAGGGGAAAAATTTAAAAAATATTGAATTGACTGAATTTTTTCCCTTAATCAGTTTTGCATCTAAGTCTGTTGCTAATGATTCACCATAAAGAATAAAGAATTTTTGATGCCCCAAGTAGAGCATAACCTTTCATGCCAAAAGCAATTGAAGGTCAGACTACAATTTCAGTCTAATTGCCTTTTTCCCTTTTCACTGTCTCTTTCCAGTAATACACAACAATCAATACAGCATGTAATTAGATTTCATTCAATCTGCAAAGATTTAGAGAGCTTTCATCTTCTCATTTGGTATTCTCACATCATGTCTTCCTACCCATGTCTTCTACACTAGACCCCTTTGACCTGTTCTATTTCAGATGTGGAGGGATGAGCTGGGAGTTTTCCCTTGAATTTGACAGGTTATCATTCGTTACACATCATAATTTGATTTTGGTCTCTTTGGGAAGATTAAATGTAATAGCAATTTCCAGTGTGATAAATGGGGTTTACATTACATATGCATTTCATGGAGGAGGCTGGGGGAAAAAGTGGACAATTCACATAATTGCAGCACAGAGGCTTCAAATGATGGAAACAGCAGGTCCTGGGTGCAGAGTACTGATTCCTGCTGACTGGGACTCCTGATTTTTAGAGTGCACTGGAAGCCAAGTGATTGCATTTAAAATTCAGCCTGGAAATCTGCATAGGTAAAAGTTACAGTAGTGTTTTTAAAAGGGAAGTTTATTCTTCATAAGCTCTGGACTGGTTGAAAATGGATCCAAATTTCCATCTTTTAAAGTAAGGGTTGGGAACAGGCTGCAAGAGAGTCATGTGAATATCCGCATCACATATCCACATTGTCAAAAAAGAACTTTTTACAGCTGGAAGCTCTCAGCTGAAGAGCAGTTCCTTGACAGAGGAGAAAGGTAAAGCCACACATGCACAGGTCACATTTAGTGTGACTGCAGCCTTGCACCAATGAAACTGCACCTCCTCATTCCCACACATTTTATAACTATTTATATTGTATGAATTTATGTTCTGCTGCTAAAAAATGCTAATTTTTTTTCCTTTTTTTTTAGGTTAGCCTGCCATTTCTTGGTTTACTACCCAGTGTTTTCTATAGTGCTGGGTCATTTTCTCAAGCTTGGCTAAGTCACCATTGACCTACCCAATGCAGTCCTGACCTTCCGTATTGCAAAGTGATGGTCAAGTCCAACAGACCAATTTCCCCATCAAACTGGTTTTGGTTGTGTTAGTATTGATTTATGCAACTGAGGGAACTCAAAATCGGTGCTTTCAGGAAGGTCAAGGTTTTATTCCCCAAAACAACAGAAGGAAAACGTAATGGGCCAATATTTGGATAGCCCCTATATAGATATAAGGTAATATTTGAATAGAGTTACTCTATTTAGGCATTTTAGGAAGAGAAAAGTTTTAAAAGTTTAGTTAAAAAAGAAGGCAGCTCTCTTTTGTAAAACCGACAAAATTGCACTCAGGTCTGAAAAATATTGACAAATGCAAAAAAATATGTCTCTATTCCAGCAGCACATCAGTGATTTTAAAGTCTTTCCCTCTACTCTGTGTTTCATGCAGTGGTAACTATTTTTTATGTAATATTTCTGCTTTTTGCCTTTGTAGCTGGGAAGAAAGCGTATTTTGACAGGAAAAAAAAATCATGTGGTAATTTTATCATTGACTCATTTGTGTGGAGCTTGAATCATTTGTACCATATGAGATTAAAA